GAAATACATTATCGATTAAATGTTTACTTATATGTTCCAGTTAGCAACATTTAAAAAATTTTGTTTCAGATATTATCGAAGCTTTGAAGCCAGAGTATGTGGCACCTCTGGTCCTCTGGCTTTGCCATGAGAGCTGTAAGGAAAACGGTGGCTTGTTTGAGGTATGGTGCAGCTTCCTACTTTTCCCCAAAGCAATGTTTGGGCAATTAAAAAAAAATTAAAAATGAGTATTTTTCCAGTGGCTTAATTTATTAAGATCTGCATGAGTTCACATAATTTGTGTTGTTTACCTTTAAGATGTATTTGTTATGGTTAAGGAATAAGTGTTAACTAATGTTATTTTTTTTAAAGTAGCAGAAATTTAATAAATTTGGTTTTCTTGATTTCTGGTATTCTTTTTTTTTAAATTTATTTTATTATTTTTTCTGTGTGTACTGTCAAATTGGATCTGACTGGTATAGGAGGAGATTGTCCTTTCTCCAGCAGAGCATCTGGTGGATTTGAACCATGCACCTCTGGGATTGCAGTGCAGCTTCTTGCCACTAGGCCACCAGAGCTCCCTGATTTCTGGTATTCTTACCAGATGGAAATGTAACTGATTCAATACATTTAGTCAGAGATGAAAAAATTTTAATTATTTTAGGATGCTAATTCATAGGAGAGAGGATTAAACCAGGCTGCTCCTTGGAGGCAAGGATTCTGGGGCTTCGTCTGACATACTTTGGACATGTTGTAAGGAGGGACAGGTCTTTAGAGAGGGACATCATGCTGGGTAGAGTGGAGGGACAGCACAGGAGGGGAAGACCCTTTATGAGGTGGATTGATTCAGTGACTGGGGCACTCGGGATGGGTTTGTCAGAGGCAATGAGATTGGCACAGGATAGAGCACGGTTTAGGGCAAACGACTCGACGGCACATAACAACAACAACAACAAATGGTAAAGTAGAAAGATAGAATGTAGAATTTAAAATCAGTCTTGCTGCATATTTTATTTTTATTCTTTAAATGGCTGGCTCATTGTAATATTGTACAAATTAACCTCTGCTATTTTCCTTTGAGGATTTTGTGACAATTAGAAGTCATATTTTTAAATCCTGGCCTTGAGGCCTAGCACATAGTTGTTGTGTGCTGTCAAGTTGGTACTGACCCTTAGCTGACCCTCTAGCCAGTTATCAGAGGCAATAAATCATAGATAGAAGATTACCCTTCCTTCTCTCGTGGAGCACCTAGTGAATTCTGTGTGCCTTTAATGATTGCATTGCAGCTTCTCACCACTAGGCTATCAGAGTTCCTACATAGCACTCATCTCCAGTTTTAGCTATTTTATCCCAATAATCTTTTTGTAAAAATTTTGTTTTATTTTGGTTTGCAAACATAGTTAATATACTTTGTGTTTCACATTTTCCTTCATTCATATTGTGCTTCATACAATCATTCCCATGCACTGTGTTTTAGAAAATCAATCACCATTGAACTACGTTCACTATTACCTCATCTTTTTAGGTCCCAGCTGATTCATTCCCATTTACTTTATTGCTTCCCTCCACCCACCAAGTTGTGCAAGCGCATGATTTTCCCCCTGCCCACCTTCTGCCCCCTTGCTCCTTTTCTTTCCCTCTTTGGGCCCTCATACCCATTTTACTACTTATCCTTCTCTTTTTACAATAATGCTCTTAAGCAGTATTTGTCCCTATGAGACTGAATAGTTCAGTCAGCATAATGGTGTCCAGTCTCTCTCAAGTTATGTAGTGTTTTTTGAAATTGTTGCTCCTGAGTGCTACATAGTATTCCATCATGTGAATGTCTATACTCTTTTGAAGAAGAAAGAGTAATAATAGCATTTAGAGCTAAAATTTTATGTAGTCTTCTTTCATTTTATTGAGAAATAGCTTTTTAAACTATGTAAATTTTATAGTGATATTTATTAATCCTATGAGAAAAATATAAGCTCACTGTGGCAGATTTCAAAAATAGAGAAAAGTTTATCAAAGATAAAATAATCTATCTTACTATCATCCAGATAAAATTACTGCTAATATTTTTATATATTCAAGTCTTGGATGTGCAAATTATCTTTTATAAATCTGTACTTTATGCACATACAAACAGGATCATGTTCTTGATGAAATTCTGTATGTTGTTATTTTCTTTTAATTTATTGTGAACATCTTAAAATAAATCATTTGACATAAATGATTTACAAAACGTGTTAAGAATTATATGCAATATTCTATATTAAACATTGTCACTAAAGTTTTGATATCTAAATTGGCACATACAAACCTTTTTTTGCTTGGTTAGAGCCCTTACTTCTAGTCCTGGAGAGGATGTTGCAATTTGTTTCTTTCTCATAAATTAATAGACCAACTTTTGATTTTATCTATTATGATTGCATCAGAATGAATTGGATTTATTATAATAGATGTAGACTTATTAATATAAATGAAAAGGGTAATAAAAAGCCATACCCTTCAGCCTAGAGCCATTAAGATGTCTTCTGTCTCCTGATGTATTTTCTTCTGTCGTGTTCTTGTGGAAGTCTCATGCTAAGTTCTGGCATACTACATGTGCTATTTGAAGATGTGACAAAGAGACTTTATTTCTGTAAGACATTTTTTTCTGAACACATTTTTATTTTTTTATAGTGACCTCTAGAAATTATCTTTTTGGGTTGCTGTTAATGCACTTTGCCATTTGTCTTCTCTCTGTGTACAACATGTTTCATTGAATGACTGTGTAGTTTATTAAGTCGGATTTTGGTTTTGTTTGGCTTTGATGTTTTTATATTCACTAGGTATCTAGCGGGTATTTATTTTGAGCTCATGATATTCAAGGCAATTTCTACTATTTATATTGGTTAACCTTCACGGTAACCTTATACAGAACGTGTCTTACCCATAATAATTTATAGATGAGGAGACTTAAATTTGAAGAGGTTAAATAATTTGTCCAGGGTCACACAGCCAGTAAATGGAAGAGCTGGAGTCAGATTTTGGTTTCTTATATTGGAGTCATGCTTTTTTATGCTGCTTTATATTTCTATTCTAATATCATTAACAGTATGAAGTCAGAGGCACTGTTGGACTGTTGTAGATCTGTGTTGTTTTCACATATTTTTTATTAAGTATTTTTATTTATTCTTAAATATTTTTTTATCACAACTTTAAGTAAATCATCAGTGTTTTCATTTATTGCCATTTAACTTTCTGATATTTCCAGTGAGATTACGGCATTTATTTTGATTTTTAAAAATTAGTCATTTCACGTTTGATGTTATAATTTCCCATTTTTCTCTTTTTATAGGTAGGAGCAGGATGGATTGGAAAATGTAAGTCCCTCAGTTTTGGTTTTCCATAAATTATTTTAATGTCTAAGTTAAAACTATCTACCTATCCATTTAGAACTAGGTGAGGATCTTATTAAATGCCTCATTATTGTATAAGGACTTTTCCATATTGAGTGTATGCATATTCAGTTTTAAATATTATTATCTCAAAGAAAACTCAAACTCACTGCTATCAAGTCACTGTTAACTCATACTTGATTCTCTCTTGGGTTCCAGTGGCTGTAAATCACACACGACGGATTTTCCCATTGTTCTCTCTGAGTTGATGGTGGATTCACACAGTCACAGAGCCATGGCCTTTGGTTTAGCACCAGCTTCACTTTCTCTGAGACATGCCTATTTGTTCCTTTGACAGTCCATGTGATATTCTTCTTCAACACCACTGCTCAAAAGCATCAGTTTTTCCTCTGTTGACCTAAGGAGCTAAACAATGCAACTAACTCTTTACAGACTGTACCACCAGAGCTCCCTTATAACAACAGTTATTCTAAAGCACGGCAATTGCCTTGCAGGTCTGTTGCCCTTCAAAAATCTATCTGTTCAGTTTTTTTCTTGCAAACAGTTGCCATTCAGTATTTGTCATGCCTTATTAAGAACTTGGCTCTTTGCTTTTTTCAGTTGCTGGTATCTCTCAAGCCTGTTCTTACTATTTTAGCAGAAAAGTGAGTGGGAAAGAGAAGTGCTTTTAAGAAACTGAGAAGAGCCTTATCCTAGATAGCAGGTTCTCAAAGTCTCCAATGATTCTTTTACTTGGAACCAAGTATGAGTTACCAGGAGGTGACAGTGGGGAATCACATTAGACAACTTTTTGGCTAGAAAATTGGAACTACTGTTTGGAAATCATTCCCATTAAGCCCACAAATACATTTATTTGGCAACATTTCTCTTCTATCCTATATGGTGAATGCCAAATTTGACAATTGTACTGTGACATTTGTTTTGTTACTAAACTTGTGTAACTTTCAGTCTATCCTAATTCTGGTTTTCATTGTTGGCTGCTAAGATAAAAATTGTTTATACAATTAATTACTTAAAAGCTTGGCATCTCTAACAACAACAGCCATCTCTAAAGATCATCATTATAGCATTATTATTATTAGAGTGTCCGTATTTAGAATCAGAGTATCAATATTTGTAACATTAATATCCATTCACCACAACTGTTAATGTAATTTTTATTTCTTTAGCAGCTTTGAGTGCCTTGATGATACCATATAAGAAAAAGGAGAGCAGATGTTGTAATAAAATCTGTGTCTAGTATTTGATAGATACAAAAGCTGTTCTTGTCATATATCACTGAGTCAGAACTGATTCATAGCAGACGCTTCAGTGGGTTTTTTAGAGGCAGTACATCACATAGGAAGAGATTGCCTATCTTTTTATTGTGGAGCAACTGGTAGATTCAAACAATATGCCTTTGGGTTGATGGCTCAGCTCTTTACCCCCAGGCCATGAGAGCTCATACACAAATACCTAAGTGGTAGAGGCAGGCATTTATATCATTCCCTAGGACAGACTTTTCATTTTATAATTATCAAACCCCCATATTTAAATAAGAAGATTGGTAGAATTCTTCTGGCTGTTTCAAATGTAGACTGTTAAGATTTTCTTTCTTGGAACTTACTAACCATTAGATGGGGAGCAGTCCACATTCTTAATTGTCAATTTTTCAGCTTCTTTATAGTCTAATTTATTTGATTTATATACATGATTGGGACATAATGGGAGGTGTGCTCTCAAATGTGTTTACTGTACCTGCCCCCTCCCCGCCCCCATTTAATGGTTGTGAGTCTGTGCATTCTAGTAAGACTTACTCTAGAGATGGAGATGGGGCAAAGGAAAAAAGAATGAGAACTCATCAGGGCTACCTGCTGTACTAACTTTTTTGTTAATTGTATTCATTGGCCTTGTGTCACACCTGGTGCTTTTTAACCAAATTCTGTTATATCTTGATTTTATAAAAGAGAGCATGAGGTATACTATGTGAGTGATCTATGGTCATGAAATCAATCATCTGGTATGATTTTATAGATTTTCACTTCTTTCTCATTCAACCATTAGTAATATATCTATCATAGTTCAAGGATAGTTTTAATTTCTTTTCACCTTCAAATACTTTGAAAAATTTTGAAAATATCCTAACGGCTTATATATTATTTCTTTAGGAGAAATGCATTTTACGGAGTGTCATAAAACTTACTATTTAAGAATTTCCCTTTCCTAATTCCTGTTATTCTTGAAGTTAAAAACATGCATCCTTTTTTCTTTCTCCCTCTTAAATCACGTGTTTAATATCTACTTCTGTTTCTCTATAATCAGTACGCTGGGAGCGGACCTTGGGAGCTGTTGTAAGGAAGAAGAATCAGCCAATGACTCCTGAGGCAGTGAAGGCTAACTGGGCAAAGATCTGTGACTTTGATAATACCAGCACTCCTCAGAGTATACAAGGTAAAGTGAGTTTCAAGTCAGTCCAGCCATAACAAAAGGATTCTTTTCTATGTTGTAATTTTCTTAATTGTGGTGACTTACGGTAAAAAGAGCAAGGGCCCTATGGGGACAGGTTTATTTGACCCTTACCAACTCCACAAAGGGGAACCGTTCTCATCAACATCATCAGCAACACAAACCCAATTCATGAGGTCAGACATGTCCCCCTCACTTCTGCATCTCTTTCTTTTCATCCCAACAGCAATCTTACTGCTTTACTGAGTATAAAATGCATTGCATTAGTTCACAGACTACACGAACCAAATTTAGGAAGTTAAAAAGCTATAAGTCAGGTTAGTAGTAGAAAGAATTATTCAATTAGGACAACTGCTGAAATGTGCTCACAGGCAACTCAGCCTTGAGCCTCTCAGCTTTAGGCCAGTATTACAAAGCCAGTTATGGCTCTTTCCCTCACTCCTCCAACAAACTTGGGCAAATGGCTCTTAGCTCTGGTTCAATAATGTAGCAATCTGAGGTAAACTATATCTCATTTCATGAGTCTGCTATGACTACTAGTCCTATAGGCCCTTGTCTGGCTGGTGCAAGAATCTCTGGCCCTGAAGGATGCATTGCATTCACGTTGCTGCTGCTTTGTTGGTGGTAATATTCTCAAAGTCTGCCTCTACATACACTCTATTTAATGTCAGAACTAGCCGGTCTCTTTGTGGTTAGGCTAACAAGCCCTATTCTTAATATTCCTGTCCATCCACATGGCAATGTGGGTCGGTGGTGAGGGAAGCTATTCTGAATAATAAACCCTTAACACAACACTTAGATGTTTGAATCATCCACAGCATATTTTATGTTCTGGTATGATTGTTGTTTGTGGTCTTCACATTGAGTACAACTCATAGTGAAACTATGAATAGATGACTTGTGCCATCTTTATCACCTCTGATTTTGTCATTCTTTTCAGTTTCAAGCTTGTTTATAATTTTAATTTATTTGATTTATATACATGGCTAGGACATAGCAGGAGGTATTCTCCTTTGTATTGAATGTACCTGCTCTCCATCTAATGACTGGCTTCAAGTCTTCCATTATTTAACCATTATCTCCTTATCTGACTTTATTTTTCACCATTTTCCAAATGTTTACTTAGATCTGTGATATTTAGGCTCACTTGTTTTTGCCCTATTAGTAGATTTTACTGTTTCAGGTTAATATGCTATGCTGTTTGTTTGCCATTATAATTTAGCCTTTCCTTCTTTTATCATTTCTGCAAATCTTGAGTCTTAGAAAAACTTAAGGCCCAATATATTCAACTAAATGTCCTCAGCACAACTGTTTTAACTGTTTTTGTTTCATTTTACTGGATTTGTTAACTGCATTGCAAGCTCTGATGGAGCCAGAAACTACCTTTTATGTATTTTTTAAATTTTTATTTAGTGGTAGCAGAAAGCTAGAGTCATAGAAAAGATTTTTTCTTTTTTTCTCCATAGAAAAGATTTAATAATTTTTGCCAAATTGAATTACTGAATTATCTGTGCTGTTGCACATAACTTTATTGCACAGGCAATAAAAGAATTAATTATATTATTTCCCCTATAATTTATAAATGGATATAGTATGTGGAATTTAAAAGGACTTTCTGGAAAAGATCATGAAACAGTTATTTTAGAAAAATAAAATCTTATTTTTTCTTTTTGATAATTTTATATTCAAAGTTTGATAGAATATATAAAAAATGACTATTCTGTTATTTTACTTTCTAAATGATACTTCCTAATTTCTAGTGCCCTCAGTGACATTTTCATTGTGTCATTTTTTAAATCAAATAATAACATGGGTGTCTTATAATGAAAGGTAGCATTTTCTGCATTTTATATTGGAGTTAAAATTAATTTATGAATACCATTTGTGTATTAAAATGAATGAGAAAAAAAGAAATATATTAAAATTTTGTTCTGATGGCAGATTTCCACTTGATTGTCTCAAATATGTTAGAAAGTTTTAAAAGGAAGCTAATTGAATTATATGATTGCAATAAGTTACCTCTAGTACTGGAAATAAAGTTAAAAGAAAATCATCTTTTCTATTGAGTTGAGACTTCTGGAGCAACTATTTCATCTCCTCATTTTAAAGAGGAATGTATGAAATAACAGGAACCTAACTACCTGGCTCAGACTCTTCTGTCTAGCCAGTGTGTGAGCTAAGAAGTAGTCTCCAAGTGCAATGCTTTCAGCCTATATCAAAGTGCCTTTCAGTTAAACAGCATCCTTAATAAAGTGGTGGAGGGAGGATTAATAGGCATGAAGTCTTTCTACCAGTATCATCAGGAATGGTGGTTGCCCTTAGCCACCTCAGACTCTGTATTTAGTTATGGGTGTTTTGTCTTTCTTTGTATCAGTTAAGACCATACCAGAGCCTGCTTTCAGAATCCTTTTGCTTATGTGGGTGCATCATGTGCTTCCTGCATTCACCTTTTAGAGTCTAAAACAGCAGCTTCAGATTACTATTTTGAATCGTGGTCACCAGAATGGCTTTCTCTGGAAGAATTTTGAGTAATATCTTCACGGCTACTGCTTTTATTGAAACTCAAATTATTCTTTGAGATTGTTTCATTTCAATGGTGTGGTTAGGAGTGGAAGACAAGTCACTTGTTTCACATCAATCATAGTCTACATATCTATGAACAGGTCTTTAATTTTGTAGAGTTATAAAGAACCTTAATGATATCTAAAGGTTTAGTAAACCCCCTTCAAATCAGTTAATGCTTTGTTTTCTATTGATACCTAGATAACTGAAACTTTCAGTCGTATGCAATTTTTCCTACAGTGTCTTGACACATTCAATTTATGAGTACCATTGAAGGTTCTACAGCCCATTTGCAGAATGTTGTAAGAATAATTATTGAGCATATTGCAGCTTTTCTTAGTAATATCTTTAACAGAAGCATTGCTTTTTTTTAAATTTTAGAATCATCTGCAGGTATAATTGGAGTTCTAAGTAAAATAGAGTCAGAAGGAGTTTCACCAAATCATACGAATCATAAAGCATCAACAACCACATCAGGATTTGTAAGTAGGAAAAAAAGCCCAAAACTTTTGCTTTCTTTGGAAATGTTTTCTTTGTTGTTTTCTTTTTTTAAATACGGTCACTACTTTCCAGTCATGAATAATTACTGAAAAGTATTTGTTGTTGTTGTGTACTGTAGAGTCAGAACTGATCCATAGCTGACCCTCCAGCAGGTTTTCAGAGGCAGTAATCACACGGGAGGAGATTGCCCATCCTTCTCCCACGGAGCAGCTGGTGGCCTCGACCCATGTACCTTTGAAATTGCAGCTCAGCTTCTTGCCACTAACCCACCAGGGCAGTGGCCATTTGAAACTGAAGATTTGTTTAGAAATTACTTATGATTGACATCAGAGCAAGCTTAGTTTTGACAATAAATGGAAGTCATGATTGTTGAACCACCTGAAGAGATGGTTCATTTTCCTTTTCAACTTTGTCCTCTTCTCCTTTCTTTCTGAACTGCAGTAGGCTTTTTTCCCCTTAATAACATAGCAAGGCAGTTACATCTCAGTTTCCAAGGTCTTTCCTAGAGTGCGAGGCGAATGGAAGGTAACCCCTTCAGTTTCTCAAAGCTGTCCTAGATGATTGAGAGCAAAAGTACTGAAAGTGGAGACTGTCTTAACCTGAACTTTTGATAGGGATGCTTTGTTCTTTGCAGATAATTTTTAGCAGTCTCCTTTAGGGGCTATGGTAAATCAAGGTAATTACCTGATTCGTACTCTGACCACTTACTTCTCTCTCTTGCTGTTTGGGAATATAAGACGAGAAACAGATTAGGTAGGCCTGTATCAATGCCTCCTCTTTATGCTCACCTTTTTCATGTAGTCTCATTTTGCCCAATTATTATTTTTTCTTTTAAATTTATCTTTAAATCGAGTGCAAGTAAATGGTGTCAAAATTTGTGGAAAAATACTATATTGCTATGCAGTATGCTATGTGTAGGATTATGTGTTGTGGACACTGCTGTGTCTCTTCCTTTTTTATTTAACAGACACAATACTGTGTATATTGAAAAAGCCAAACAGAAATGTAAAGAATTCATAAAAATTTATGTATCAAATGTTATTTTTCAAGTTGTTTAATTTACTGTTAAGTAGGAAAGATGCAGAACTTTTTTTTTAGTAATTTTAATGAGCATTTACAGAGATTTTGGATTTCCATTCATTCATTGCTGCACTTCTCTCCCCGCCCTCCCTCCCCCCTCCAGATGCAGAACTTTTCATAAAGCAATGTACTGTACTGAATATTGATTAATTTTGAATGAATGTAAGTTAAAATAGCAGATGGGACTTTTGCTTTTTCTTCAGTGCAGTTCACAAGTTTGATTTTTTTAAAAAGTATCATTGATAATGCTAGTTTGTTTGCCATTTTTTAATTTTATTTTTTTAGAAAAGGATATTGTGGCGTTTCTGAGTCATTTGCTTTTAAAAATAGCATTGATACAGTGTTGAACTTTGAGAATGTTTGTTCATGGCTACAAGTAAGAAAACTCTCATTGGGTTACTAATTCTAATAGAATTGTGGTTTTAGGTCATGGTAAAGTTAACTTTTTTCATGTCTTGAACTTTCTTCTCTTTAAAAAAGCTGTAGTATGTAAATAATAAGAAATAAATATCTTGTCACATTGGATTCTGGTATTTTGTATCTGAGGATAGGTATGGCGTTGCCATTGTATATTATGTAACCTGTCTTGAATCATAGTAACTTGATTGGAAACCCCACAAGTTTCTTAGGTTATAGTATTTCCAGGCAAAATTGAGGAATCTTCCTCTTCTGGAGCAATGGTGTGTTCAAACCACCTGCTTTTCAATTAGCAAATGAGCACTTAAACATTGCAGTATCTGTAAAGGGCTAGGAGGTAAATTGCTTGGGTTTTATAGGGATCTCTGGTGACTTGGTGGGTAAGGAGTTGTGCTACCAACTCAAAGGCAGACAGTTCAAACCCACCAGCTTCTCCTCTAGAGAAAGATGAGCATTCTCCTCCTGTGCAGTTTATAGTCTCTGAAAACCTTCTGGAGGGTCAGCTATGAATCTTCCAACTCAATGGCGGTGAATTGTTTTAGGCTTTATGGGTTATGTACTGTTTCTGTCATGTATTTATTCTTCTTATTCCTTTTCTTTTTAACCATCCTTCAAAAATGTGAAAGCCTTTAATAAGCTTGTAGTTTTCCATCCCTGTTTTATGATAAAAGTGATTGAAATGTTGAATATCTGTCTTTTATAAGCTAATATATGGATCATTAGCTAGTGATAGCATCACTAAATAGCAAAATATAACATCCAATTAGATGGGAAGAATCTTTAGGTAGAATTTTATTCTAACTGGAATCATTATGAGGCAATCTAAAATACAGTTAGCATTATTTTCTCTAAGTTTTTGAATTTTATATAATAGAACTTCTAGAGCAATTTACTATTCTTATTTATAGAAATGCATTATTCGTTGGATATTTAGATAGCCAATAGTTACTGAATTAGTCTCTTCCCACCATTAGAAGCAGGAAAGTTGAAAACGAGACATGATATTTGTTAGCATGATGCAAACAATAAAAAGTACTTATCTGTAAATGAAGTCCTTTCACACACTATCTAATTGGTTCTATTTTTAAAAATTCATATATAATGAAGCAATTATGAAGCTCCATCAAATTCTCTAAAATGGCATTTTGTTCACATCTTTTCAAAAACAAAACTAAGTATGTAAGCAATTATTAATTTTGGAAAATTGAATATCAGAGATTTGACAGAAATGGTATCTGTGAAAATAATTATTTGTATCTTTTTTTTAGGCTGGAGTGATTGGCCACAATCTTTCTTCATTTTCTTCTTCTTACACTGAACTGGAAGCTATTATGTATGCCCTTGGAGTGGGAGCATCGGTTAAGGATCCAAAAGATTTGAAATTTATTTATGAAGGAGATTCTGACTTTTCCTGTTTGCCTACATTTGCAGTTGTCTTAGCTCAGAAATCATTAATGAGTGGAGAGCTGGCAAACATTCCTGGACTTTCAATCAACCTGGCAAAAGTATGCCTAATAAGGAACTTTTTTTTAACTTTTTTTTTTTTAATAAGGAACTTTTTATCTGCTTTTCTTCTTTGTGTTAAAATATGATTGATGAAGGTTTTATAGCTATATATGCACATATAGAATTATAGAATATAGAAGTTTAGGAATCAAGATTTATCTCATGAATTTTTTAATAATAATAAAAATGAGAGATAGTTTAAATGGTAAGCAAAAAAAAAAGGATGGAAATAAAAATTTAGTCCTTCTCTCCCATTTACTTGACTTATGGTTAGTAATGTCTCTAAGCTTCAGTTTCCTTTTCTAAAAGGGATATGATATTTCTTAACTCATAATATTGATGAAAGAGCAAACCAGATATTTGAGACAGAGAGTTGGTAAGTGCTTTGCTTATTCTGAGAACAGGGAGGCATATAACTGGGAATGAGCAAGGAGGCAGGACTGGGAGAAGAACCGTCACTGTAAGATGGTTAAGTGTTTAAGATCACTGTAAGCTTTTACTGTCTTTAAGATGGCATGTTCCAGGGAGCTCTGGTGGCCTAGTGGCAAGAAGCTGTATTGCAATCCCAAAGGTACATGGTTCGAATCCACCAGATGCTCTGCCGGAGAAGGAGGGATAATTTCCTCCTGTACCAGTCAGATCTGATTTGACGGTACATGCACAAAAAATAATAAAATAAATTAAAAAAAAAAAAAAGATGGCATGTTCCTGTAGCACTAAGCTAAGGAACAACGTGATTCTGACTTTGTTCATTCGCAAGCCCACTCTTTTTGCTATATGAAGATAGATTATTAAGAAGCAGGCATGGAAGGGTTCAAACAGTTAAGTGTCTGTTCTAGAGGAGTCAAGGATGAAGAATTTTGGTCTGAACAGAGACCAAATATGTATGTATACTATACACAGTTTATTTCTATGTATGTATAATAATTATATATGCTATTATTACATATAGTAAAAATATGAATATACACTTTATTTTGAGGTATCAGGAATTAGGTTTTGGCCATTCAAGTGGAGATTCAAGTGGAGATATACAGGGATTTGAGTATATGAATGTTGATTTTGCCATTTATGTTTGGTTCATGTTTTACTGATTTAAATGACTTTAGCACTAGCCCTACTTGTTGGTTTTTGTTTAATATGTTTACTGAATGCCTAATATATTCTGCGGACAGTAATAAGCACTGGAAATAACTAGTACTTCTGTTGGCAGATTTACCCACTCCTTACACTGTGACATAGTTAGGTTCCAAAGAACTGTTTGGTATGCAGAATCAGTGTTGTACAAGGCTGTCTCCCATCTTTGGCACCAGTGTTCCCTTTCCACATTGCTCACTGCCCGTTGGATATTACTGGGACATATCAGGATGAACATGGCATGGTGGCCTTCTTTCTCCATCATGCCTTCCCCACCAGTGCTAAGCCAGTGACGTTAGGGGGTTAGAGTGGTGGGGGTGGGGGGTGGAGTCTATCACTTAATCTCTCTATGCCTGCTCTTATTTCATATCGTGTTGCTGTTGTTTTACATCCTCTATTGTGAATGACTGGAAACACGTGTTGCCAAGTGGTTGCTGTCCCTCATGTGTCCAGTTATCTCCATGACCTCTAATATATTATTTAGCCGGTCTTTTGGAGAATACTCTGGGCCTAGCCATAGCTCTGTGTGCAACCAGATCTTTGGGTGTGCCATTTGAAAATATTTCCACATTTGTTATATAGAGAAATGTTGGGTTAGTGGTTTAGTCGATTAACTGAGTCACTATAAGAGAGCTGATGACCCGCAGTTAGATGGATTGACACAGTGACAGTAAAAATGAGCTCGAGCATGTCAGAGATCATGAGAATAGGTACAAGATAGGGCAAAATTCCAATCTGTTTTTATGGGGTCACTATAAATTGGGGCCAACTCAAACACATGTTAAGGACAGCAACAATCCAGTTATCTGTCAGTAAGAAAGACCACAAATATACCTTTCTATGCTCTGAAAGAACGAACAGTCTTTAGAATGAGGTACTTTTTTCCCCTGAGTCACATTATTAAGAAGTGTAAGACAAACTGAGGCTATTTAAAGGAAGAAGTGATGGGAGTTCAGATGGCTTAATGGTAAAGAATTTTACTGCCAGCCCAAAGGCAGGTGGTTCAAATCCACCAGCTGCTCTGCAGGAGCAAGATGGGCAATCTCTTTCTGTATGATTTATCTCTGAAAATTCTCTACAGGGACCGCTATGAGTTGGTTCTAAACTTGATGGTACATAGCAACAACAAAAATGATGTGAACAAGTGAACAAGGCGAAAGTGGTTATAAACTCTATCCATATAATGACTGTTTAAAAAGAATATTTGCTAATATGGTTTTCCTTACCCTTTTAAAGCTGCTCCATGGTGAACAGTATTTGGAGTTGTATAAACCACTACCCAGAGCAGGTGAGTCCTGAACAGACTAATTCCATAATCATTCCATAGTTTTATTTCAGGCTAAATCTTATAAGATGGATCAATACATGAATCTAGCATATGTTGTTCTTGATTGCTTTTGAGTTGAGCATGACTCATAGCGACCCTATGAACAAAAGGCCTGAAGCCCCTCTACAATTATCGACATTAATCAATGTTTATAGAGTTTCTGGAGGTATGCCATTTAGGAAGGGGATGCCACTCAATCTAGCATATAGTGACCCAATGAAACATTTCTAAAGTTATTTTATGTACATGTCAGCCACTGGGGTAGATTGATGTTAGCTAATACCTGTTTGGGGATCTCTAGGGGCCTAGTGGTAAGGAGTTGCACTGCTAGTTCAAAGAGAGGAAGTTCACATCCACCAGCTCCCAGCCCCATGAGAGAAAGATGGTCAGTCTCCTCTGATGTGATTTACAGCCTCTGAAAACTCACTGGAAGATCAGCTATGAATCAGTTTACACTTAATGTCACATAACACCACCAACACCTCTTTTGAGTCCTAGAATCTTGCCTTTTAATAGTTTCATGAAAGTAAATAGCTTCAAAATACTAACATCTTTTCCCTATTGATATGTCATTTTATCTCTGTTGATTTGAGTAAATGATTATAAAGCAAATTGGTTGTCCATTCAACCATTCATATACATTTTGTTTCATAACATTAATTATAATACCTACAGTATAACCACAGTCTTCCCAGTTCCTTTCTGTGATTCTTGTTTCCACTGATCCTTCTCTGCTTTACTTTCCTGCCATAGGCTTTATCCTTGGCCAAATGCTTCCCTTTGGACCTTATATGATTTGTTTGGTTTGTTATAAAGATAATGGGCTGTGTGGATTATGGCTAACATTGAGAAGAAGGGGAGTCCCAGAACATTTAATTGTGCCTGTGTGAAACCTATACCTAGACTAAGACGCTATTGTGCAAACATAGCAAGGGAACACTGCATGGTTTAAAATCATGAAAGGTGTACATAAGGTTTGTATCCATTCTCCATACCTTTTCAGTCTATATACTGAGCAGATCATACAAGAAGCTGGGCTCTAAGAAGAAGAAGGTGCCATCAGGATAGGAGGATGACTCAGTAACAACCTGCATTTTGCAGACGACACAACGTTGTTTACTGAAAGTGAGAACTTAAAATGCTTGCTGCAGAAGATCAAAGACATCTCAACAAATTACATCTCAACATCAAGAAAACAAAAATCCTTACTACTGGACCAGTTAGGCAACATTGTGATATTTGGAGGAAATTTGACATTGTTTAGGATTTAATTTTGTTTGGTTCCATATCCCCTCTCATGGTAACAGCAGTCATAAAACAAAAAGGTATTGTTTGGGTTTTTTTTTTTTTTTTGGTATTTTTGGGAAATCAGCTGTCAAAAACCTCTCCAGAATGCTAAAGAGCAGTGATGTCACTTTAAAGACTAAGGTGTACCTCATCTAAGCCATGGTCTTTTCAGTTACTTCCTTTGCATCTGGAAGTTGGACAGTGAATAAGGATAGCAGAAGAATAATTGCCTTTGAGTTGTGATGGTCCAGAAAATTACTGGATATCCCATGGACTGCCATGTGAACAAACAAATCTTTTTTGGACAGAGTGCAATGAGGATGCTCTTTAGAGGTAAAGATGGTGGAACTTTGCCTCACATACTTTGGCCGTGTGGTCAGAAGGACCCAGTCCTTAAAAAAGGACATCATGCTGGGAAGGTGGAGGGTGAGTACGACAGAGAAGACTCTCAACAAGATGGTTTGGCACCAGTGACTGTGGTAACGACTCAAGTGTATCAGAGATAAGACAGTACAGGGTAAAGGAGTGCTCAGATCAGTTGTTCATAGGGTCACTGTGAGTCACAGACAGCTTGATGGCACCTAACAACTACCACCACCATGGTTGCTTATTCTAAGAAGTAAATGCCATCCTGGAATTATTGTTCATCTTCTCGGTGACCTGGTGGTAAGAAGCTGTGCAGCAATCCCAAAGGCTCATGGCTGGAATCTTCCAGATGCTCCACAGGAGAAGGATGAGCAGGCTGCTTCTATGCAATTTATTGCTGAAAACCCTCTAGCACGTGGTTATGGGCCAGTTTTGAGTCAATGGCAAACAATAAAAACAATTTAGTCTCGGGCATTCCATCAGTCTGTTGGGCTAATATGCTTTTTCTACAGTGTACAAAATTTCTTTTTTTTTTCTTTCTGTATTTTATTAATTTTCATAAACATTTACAGAGATTTTGGG